CTCTCTCTCTCTCTCTCTCTCTCTCTCTCTCTCTCTCTCTCTCTCTCCCTTCTACTGGATTTTCTTGGTTGATGTATAGAAAGGCTGATGGTTTTCATGGGTTACTTTTTTATCCTGCAATTTGGTTTAAGGAAGTCTTTTAACTGATTTATTTTAGTTGACACTTTAGGGTTCTCTGGGTAAAGGTTGGTGTTTTCCTTGGTCTCACTGTGTCCTCTTTGTCCTTCCAGGAGCTGGAAAGTGAGGTTGTGCAGAAGACATCTGAATGGCACAGGTAAGGCCCCAAACTGCCTGGCAAAGAAAAAAGGAGGGGAAGAGGGGTAGAAAGCTAGAGCAGAGAGAGCACAAGTGAGATTCCCGGGGAGAGAGGGGTCACTGGAGCCAGAACACTTAGGTTAGCAGGTCTATAGGATCAATCCAAACTGAAGCTGACCTTGGAGAACAGATGAAGGTACTGAGGCCTGGGAGGGAAATGATCTGCCCAGGCTCTCCCAGGGAGTAGATGTCAGCAAAGACTTGCACCCAAGCCTCTGGCTCTCTCCTTTCCATTGAGTCGTGGTTTTCTTCAGGAGACATTGTTCCATTTTCTGGCCTCTGTTTTACTCCATCCTCCAGTGCGTGTTCTCCAGGTTGACTTTGACCTTTCCTTTTGTCCCTGTCTAGTTCTTCCCAAGAAGCCTTTGAGGAGAAAAGGCCAAAGGGGATGGATTCCCTAGAGGCCCAGCTGGTTGGCCTGAGGCAGGAGCTGGTGGCCTTGAGCCAGAGCCAGGCTGAGGTGGAAAAAGAATTACACCTTTGGCCAGAGAAGATGGCGGCCCTGTGCAACGAGGTAAATCGTCCAGTTGCCCAGTTAGGCCACGCATCCATTGGGCACTTCCCAAAGATGTAGGCCTATTGAGTGGACTTTGTGATATGGACAGGACGTTCCTCATCTGTCAATTGGGATAATAACAGCCCCGAGCGGGTCCAATGAGATGACCTCATTTACAGACCTCAAAGCAGTGGAGAAATGCCAGTCACTTGGTTCACCATCTCTTCCCTGGCACCAAGCTGGCACGTGCTGTTCCCAGAACTCAGAGTGACTCTAGACACCCCAGGCCCCCTGTCCAGGTCCTCTTGCTTCCTCATTTCTGCTGTTGCTCTGGTGTTTGCTGAATTCTTTCCTCTGTTGGCTTCTAGATGGAGTCTCAGGTCCCAGCCTGGATGCAGAAATACCATCTCGGAGACCAGGGCACTCAGGCTGGGCTTGTACAGCTCGTGCAGGCCCAGCTTCACGACCTGGAGCAAACACTGCTGAACCATGTGGCAGAGGAGCAGGACAAGTCTGTCAACAAAATTGCTACTGACTTGAGGCTGACCCTTCTAAAGGAAGCAGTGGCCACTGGGGTGACCAAGGAGGTGAGCCTGGCCCTTCTGCCTGTCCTCCTACCTGGCGTCACGGGTTTGTCCTGAGAGGAGCCTGCCAGGAGGGAGGGGAAAGCCCAGGTCAAGCAGTTAGCAAGCTTGCCCATCCCCTACATGAGCTGGGCGGGGCCTGCAGGTGGCCCATCCCACAAATGGTACATGCCTGTCTTTTAGGAAGTGCATGAGATGGTGCAGCAGGCCCTGAAACTGTATAGTGAAGATCGAATCGGGCAGGTGGATTACGCCCTGGAGTCCTCAGGTAGGTGACCTGCAGAAAACCAGAGGGCTTGGGACAAGAGGGACTGGAAAATCAGGATAGCCATTATGAGACAGGAAGAATTGACAAATCAGGATGCACTTTACTGGCCTGTGCAGTTAGGAGGGCTGATGTCCTGGCAGCACCCCCTCACCTTGAGGGCTGCCCTAAGTCATCTCTGTGTCCTGCCAGCCCTTGGGTGCCCCCTCCACCTTCTCTCTCTGTTGGTCTTTCAGGGGCCAGCATCCTCAGTAGCCGCAGCTCAGAAACCTATGGCACCAGGATGGCCATTGTCAGTCTGTTTGGCATCACCTTGTGGTACCGTATCCAGAACCAAAGAGCCATCCTCCAGGTAGGGCTGAACAAGGGTACCCCAGCTTGGCTCTCTGCCTGCCATTTCTCCCCTCCTCTGTGGGGGCTGGGACCTCAAGGCAGAGGGGCCTCAGGATCTGAATCTCTTCCACATGCTGCCACCTTTCACTTGATTTGTCTTCCCCCCACAGCCAAATGTCTACCCTGGCAACTGCTGGGCATTCCGGGGCCCCCAGGGCTTTGTTGGGGTTCGCTTGTCTGCCCTCATCCACCTTACCGCTGTCACTCTGGAGCACGTGCCCAAAGCCCTGTCCCCAGACAGCGACATCACCAGTGCCCCCAAGGACTTTGTCATCTTGGTGAGTACCTGAGCCTGGCAGCTCTCCTTTCTCGAAATATGGAAAGCGCTTTCTTGACCGCAGCAGCATTTAGAGGTAAAAGTTGGAAGGATGTGCCCATTGCACAGATGGGACATTGAGGATGGTCTCTTGATTCTTCCAGTTCAGTCCTTCTGTTCCTCCTCCTCTTCTTGAAGAGGAACCAGGAAAAG